CGTCGGACCCCGGATACAGCTCCTGGACCTTGGTCTTGAATTCGGCCCAGGTGGCCAGTGGCGGACCCGGTTGATTGCACGCTTTCCAGAGGACTTCATCCTCTCTGGAAATGTATCGCATGGCAATTTTTATCCTCTCTGGGTCCATGCCTCTCTCTAGGGCTTCAGCCAACTCCTCCACATCCTCCCAATATCTGGCGAGGTTTAAGGCTTTCCCGTCGAACTCGGGGGCCCCTCGGGCTGTACGTCCGGGTAATGTCTTCATCTTTTTCTTTGGTGCAGGCGGCGGGGAAGGAGTGACGCTGGATTCAGTCGAAAGAGTGATCGAGTTGGAAGGATTGGTGTCGATGGGAGGTATGGAGTCGAGCGAGTCGTCCGGGGAGAGCTCGGTTAAGGGCGTGGATTCGGCTGAGGAAATTTCCTGGGACGGGGGTTCGACAATCGGGGACTGGAGCGGGGTCGCTCGGTCGGGACGATTCGAGTTTAGGGGGTTGTTTTCTGAAAGGGTTATCTCCTGCTGTACGTTGCGCCTCGAAGCGGCTCGGGTTTCGGTAGGAATGGCGAATTAGGCCTTTCTCCGGGAAAAATCAACAAAAAATCCCCTCGCAGTGGGCTCCAGTTGTGATTGGGACTGTGGTGCTGGTGTGTGAATTGGTTTACACTCACAACAGCTTGTTCGTCCTCTAGGGGATTCTGAGTATGATTTTTAGGGGATTGCAAGGTTTATTGGATCGCCCTTTGGGTTGGTGGTGATAAATGAGGGTTGGTCGTCCCAACGGGACGATAGTCGTAGAGAGAGTGTGTGTGTGTGAATAAACCGGTCGAGGGCCTGTAACCTTCCTTTATCTGGTCGGAGTACTGGTGCTCTTCAGTACGAAGTCTCCGCTTTGCTTCCTCTCTCGCTTTTCCCCCTAATGATCGAGCGGGAGGTTGTGTGGATTACGCAAGTGCAATCTCCTGCGGAAGGCTTCGACACCGTTCCTTGGGTTCGTTTGGCAGGGACGATAATGTGTCGAGGCGTAAAACGTTCGGTTGGGACGACAATTTGCCAATGGGTCCAAGGCTAGCTATCAACTTTCTACAGAGCGTGAGCTCGCGAAGGAGGATAGAGTCACTTTGAGAAGGGTATAAAGCACGAGCTTAAAGACTTAAGCTGCAAAGTGGTTAGAAGTAAAGTGCTGTGAAGCAAGTGAGTGGTTGTTATTGGGTGTGGACTAGAGTACACTGTGGAACAGTGCGGGGGATCCGATGTCCAGGTCTGAACGACTGACTACTAGGTCCGTTCCCGTTTCCCTTTTATACCTTTCCCCCTACCTCCTTTGGGTCGTGCGTTATGTGACGAGGAGGGGCTGAAACAGGGTCCAATGGTTTCAGGTGGGTAACGGAAGGTGAATTGGCGAATGGCCTTCTGGGACGAACCGCCTTTCAGCGAGTTCACGGGGTTTCCTAGAGACGTGGGAAGCATGGGTAACCGGGGGAGCCATCCTGGACATGGATTTGATGCTCTCCTGGGCAGTGTGTGTGCAAGAAAAGGACCCCGCAGAGAGCGTCCCTTGTGGACGTTCGGTGAACGTTGCGATCCCGTCAGAACAAGTCTCCCGTGGTGTCATGGTGCTTTCGTCAGGACGTATGGCCCATGAGGACGGTCGTTCGGCCCCAGTGAACAGTCGCATGGTGCCCTAAGAATAGTTGAAGGGTCGAATGGCCTGGTCAGACGTCGTCCATTTCCGGTAAGCAGGAAGCCCAATCTGGATATTCCTTCGTCCCGAAGTCGCGTGGTGTCGGTAAGTCCGTCGTGACACATGTAGGGTGCGTAGCACCCTCACAGCGGACCAGATGACAATGTCATCAAGGTAAACGTGACAAATTTTGCCGATTAATTCACGTAGTGCAGCCGTAACATGTCGTTGTTGGACCGAAGGTGCGTTTTTTAGTCCTTGGGGCATAACAAGCCATTTGTACAGTCCTAGCAGGGTACTGACTGCTGTGTACTTAATAGAATCAGGGTGCATCCAGGTCTGGAAGAAACTATCGGTGAAATCGATAGTTGCCCAAATTTTTCCCTTGGCGCAGTCGGCCAAGATATCATCGACACAGGGTAACAGGAACGCATCACGAATTGTCGTCGCGTTGAGCGGCCGGAAGTTGTTTACCCAACGTGGTAGGATGATCTTGTCTGCTTTTGGGATCAAGAAAGCGGGTGACGCATGTGGGGAGGTGGATGGACGGATTCGCCCTGCATTGAGGTGCAATTGTATTAGGGTCTGCCATGCTTCCTTATATTTCTGCGGGCTCTGGTACAAGCACATCTCGATGTCATGCTCGACATCTTTAACTTTTATTTCACAATATACATCAGACGGTAGCATGTTGGTGTGCGGCATCGGTTCAAATAAGACAGGGTATTCCGCTCGGATTTTATCACCGTGTTTGTTCAATTCGTCCCAGTGAGCGAGAACTTCAATACGTTCGCGGACAGCTGCAATAACGTCAGCTTCTTTGACGTCTTCGAAGAGGTTTTTGGATTCCATATCCAAGCGACGTTTTTCGCAGACCGTAGACAGTTTGTTTGCAACGGCCTTGTGGTTATCCCTAGTGTGCTTAAGCTTTTCGCGCAGCTTCGTAATTTTTTTCTTGGGTGGTGGAGGGGGCGGTGGATTCAAGATATCGTAGCCACAATTTTTGTCAATGGCCATGCAAGCAGCGTGGTCTACTACAATGGAGTTACAGGCAAGCCACGGTAGGCCTAATATAACAGGAGAACAAAGGTTGGGCGCTACAAGTGCGCGTATCGTACGAGAAGACCAGGATTGATCGATGGAAAGTAATTGTAATTTCACTGTATTCAGTAAGGTGCGTAGTGGGTTCGGCGTCAGAGGCGATGGCAAGCGAAATAGGTTCGGGTTTATGTAACTTGAAGCGGTGAAGGGCGAGTTTGTCCACAAGGTCCGAGTCGATTCAGACTAGATGTGCACCATCATAAATCAGTACAGTGATGGGCAGCAGGAGATTAGACATCGGACCCCCCACCACGCAGTCCCAATGGAGGTGCAGGACACGGTATGGAAAGGAATCGGAACTCACCGAGAGCTCGTCCTCGTTGTCACTGTCGTCGGTGTCATCAATGCCGGGCATCACGATGGCAATGGCCTTGCCCTTTGACGTGGTCTTCGCACGGTTGACAACAAAGAATTTACGGCACTTGTTGCAGCCATCGTTGGCGCGGAGGAGTTCGTGCTCGTTGGCGGTGAGTGGGGGGCAGTTGGTCGAGGAGGACCCAGCAGTGGACGAGGACGATGTGCTCGTCTTGCCCTTGCGCGAGTCTCCAAATGGTTTCTTCGGGGCATGATCGGCATTGTCGACGTTCGAGCTCGGTGCCTTGTGTTTGCCACTATTTCCGCTGCCACGTTCCTTCTCAGCCTTCTCAGCGAGCATGGTTACAATGTGGTCGTCCTCGTACAGCCTGATTTCCTCAATTTAGATGACAGCCTTGAGCCAGTCGTCGAATTTGTCGTTGGCGATCTTGGGGGCTGTAGCATGGCGAGTGTAGCAGCGGCTGAGGTCCAGGAGCATCCCAGCCTCGATGGTGTGGCGGAGGCATTTGTCGTCAAGCGCAACGCCGGCGCCAGTGGAGGCGTCGTCCGAGAGGAGGGCGGCAAGAGATTGCAAGCCAGTGGTCCACTCGTCGAATGTCTCAGAGGGCTTCATGCCCGAGGAGAGTAGTTCAGCATGGGTAGCCTCTTGCCAGTTTGCCCTTAAGAATTTCTTTCGGAATTCTGTCATGAAGTCAGAGAAGGTGAGGGTGAGGAGGTGTTTGCGCTGGGCCGAGGGACAGGTCCAGTTGTTAACCTTCATGTCCTCAAAACAGCCCAAGACGATGCCGACCTGCTTTTTGGGGGTGGTGTCTTTGTGTGCGAAGTAGTTGGCGCAAGCATCCTGGAATTCGGAGCATGTGAGCGCCGTGACTTCCCCACGGTGGAAGGTAGGGAGCTTTCTGGTGTGGCATGTGACGGTGGCTGCCTTGGAGGACGACATGGTGGTTCTGCGGTTTGGAGGGGACGGCGACGAGGAGGAGGAGTCAGAGGAGAACGTCCTCCTATGGGAAGGCGGCGGGGATGGAGTGTCCGGTCGAGGGGGCAAGGGCATATGACGTGCCGAGTGTGATGGGGATGAAATGGTGGGCGGTGTCAGCAGCGTCAACGGCGACTCGGGTTCTGGAGATGGCCCTAACACTTTCTTCGCGTTGTGAGTGAGGAGCGGTTGGGGGACGGAGGGTGTTCTATGAGACAGTTTTGTAGAGTGTTATCAGATGGCAATCAGATGTGGCTGTGCGTAATGCTGGCAGCTGGACGAAGATGGTGAGCGAGCTGGAAATGCTCTACGGGGATGGAGACACCGTTGGAGGGTCGGTGTGAATTGGTGTTCGCCCGTGTGGGGAGATCTGGGGAATCACCAAGTCTCCGCAATCAGGATCTTGAGATCACTGATAGGCGGGCAGGGGCAGAAATAGCGGCAGAGGCTATTGTTCAGAAAGTGGAAACTCACCTCAGTCCAGAGGAGAGAAACACTAAGCTCAAGAAGGAGGGGGCAGAAAGAACAATAAGACAGAGCTATCAATTCCAAGAAGCAGAAGGTGGGGAGTACAAGATGGTGGTAAAAGTCCAAGAGAGGTCGTGACCAAGTCACGATCATCACATGTAAGTATATCCGTCAGTTGTAAATCCTCAGCGGGTTTACAAGGGGGAGGAGGAGGATATCATGATATTATACTGGCACGGTGTGAGCCATCACATTGTGATAGCTCCCGACGTGACCTCAAAACACCGAACTCCGAGAACAACGGCTTTACATCAACATAAAAATGATATCCGGACCCAACGCATGACTCGACGGAGAATCGAACTCCGTACCCTCTGAAAACAAAACACCTATGTAGGAATTCGGAATGTGTTGTCACTACGCCACCGAGCCGTGGACAAAAGAAATATTTTTAACACAAATGGCTTGACGGAGAATCGAACTCCAGACTTTCTGTCGAATGATATACGAACGTTCCATATAGGTACACGGAATGTGTTACCATTACGCCAACAAGCCATTCAAGAGTCGAACTCAGATGACCACCAAGGACCAACCCCGAGTTAAAAATGTTACCCGGACCCAACTAATGGCTTGACGGAGAATCAAACAAACTCTGGACTCCCCGCCAAACAATATGCAAACGTTGCAAGATACACGGAGCGTGTTACCATTACGCCACCAAGCCATGAATCGAATGACCAAAATGCCAAATAAACCATCGTTGTGAAAGAAAAAGAAGGGTTTCCATCGGAATGGCTTGACGGAGAATTGAACTCCGGACTTCCTGCAAGAGGTGCTTGTACAAGAACCAACACAGGATGTGTTACAATTGCACCATCGAGCCACGAATGCATACAGCCCAGAAGCAGGGAACAGGAACTCCGGGTGGTCAAAAAGTGGATAGCACAAGAGAAGGGCTCGACGGAGGATCGAACTCCAGATCTCTCCATAAGTCAAACACTGGGGTGAACGGATACGGAGTGCATTTACCACTACGCTATTGAGCTGTCGCAGGAGGAAGCCGGATAGGAGGAAAGCTAGGATCAGAAATGAGGTGTCCGGGGCTAGGGCTAGCGAATCCGGGCCGCGGATTCGGTGCCTGGCTGAGAACATAGGTTCACGGAGTCCAAAGTGAGTCACAAACAAACTCCAGGCGAAGGAGCGTGCGAGCGAGCAGGTTTGGGATACAAAGGAACAACTCCAGCACAGCCTCGGGCTGGGGGTATAAATACTACAGCTAGTCTACCAAAATATCATCTCAGTTTCGGCCCACATCCTCACCTTCTAAGCCTTAGCCAGCTTAGGAGTAGCTAAAAACCCGCCCCGAACATCACCTAGAGGTCACCCGGAGTCAAGTTACACAGTAAATCAACCTCGGCACTCCCTCACCGCCATCAGACAGCGAACAGAGTTTCATTCGGCATAAGTTCAGCACCAAATATCGAACCGTTTATTCCTCCCCTACACCAGTAGGGCAGTGAAATCTCTCACAAACAGCACAATGAAGTCTTCAGAGTTTGTGTGTAGCTGCTAGCTAAGGAAGTTGGCGGTGCAGAGCCCGCAGGAAGTCGCCTTCAGCAAGCGAACGGGTGAGAAGTAGAGAGAGGAAACTCCGTAGAGGTACAAAGAGGGGTAAAGGGAGGAGAAATTTGCAGGAACGGTACCGCAGACACATAATTCCCCTGGTCTTATGATCTACGACTCAAAGATACTTCGGACGACTGTGGTTCGCGGTCCAGGAAGCCCAAAAATCCATATTTCACCTCGGACTTGACAAATTGGACCCCGCATCGCCTTCCAAAGCTCCTCCTCCGAGGAAGTGTAGAACAGACTCAACCTCCGTTAACCCAAGAAGGCTGACTAGGCATCGGAGTTCACTCGGACCACCCTAGCTAGTAGGATTTTGAACGAACTTTCAAATCCTTGTACGGATATCCCCACCAATATTATTTAAAACCTCCCTACATACTTGTCTACCGCGGCAGAACAAATTCCCCCTGGAGGACGAGCATTTAAACATAGCCCGGATCTCCCCACCATCTGGCAGTTTAAAGTACCGCAGTCCGCATCACAATGGTCCCACAATTGGAACAACCAGTTTACTAAGAACAAACAAGTAGCTAGAATACGGGTGGCTATCCATATTTAACTCCAAGAAGCCCTTAGAGTAAGTCAAGTGGCTGGTACAATTCAGAAATGTCAATCGACGTGGGCTTGAGTTTGAAATTCTAGAGGGGTGCCGAAGACTTGCCGATCACCGGTTCCCGGTCCCTCGGACCGGAAAGTCACTTTCTCGATTAAACTCGGGGCCACACTACGGCACCCTGGGGCTGTAAAATAAAATTCTGAGGAGACAAAGCAAGCAATTGCTATGAGATCCAACTCCTCAGCTTTGACCAAAATGAAATATGAAGATTTGAGCCCAGGGCGTGGCACACAAAAAAATTTAAACTCCACGCCTGCTCCAATCAGTCTGCCTACGGCAACGTGCTCGCCACATTGTTGCTATTCGTAGGCAGACTGGTAACGAGTCTAACAAATTTGATGATTTCACGATTTCAAAGTCGCGAAAAACCCGAGTAAAGGCAGGAAAAATTAGGGAAAAAATTTGAGAGGAAGCTACGCGACTTTACATAAAGACAAATAATTTTGCGCCAATGGATTGAATTCTTCTCTCTCGAAATACAGTGGGAACGGCGGCCACAAGCCAAATAGCAACTTTCTATTTGGCAACCCCGTACTGCTGGTTGCTAAATAAAATTATCATTGTTGTTTCGGCGGATTCTTGCGAAAGGAGTTTGAATACGGTCGGACGAGAATCTATAACCTGACTCAATCTGCAGAATAGCGGAGTGGAGAAAATATTTACTGGTGGAATGACTGGCAGCCACGTATCGATTTTGACCGCGGCGGAACCGAACGCTATCGCTGAAAATATCGCACGCACAATATATTCAGAATTGTTATTATATTTATACATGCCCATCTTCAGGCCTCCCTAGAACCGAACTGTGTGGATGGGACTGTGACGGGACGCGGTCAGTAGTTGCCGCGTTGAAGCTCGCCTCTGAATACTCTCCCACACCGAGCAGCATTTATTCGTCAGGATGGAGTTGCGATGGACAAGCAGGATTACACACGTGCGACAGTCCAAGGAAAATCCCGCAACAGTTCGGCAACGGTAGCCTAGTAGGTTTGTCAAAAAGAGGGCCGTAAGCGCGGGCAGTTTCCGAAGAGTCGGTGGCGACGAAGAGGCGAGCAGCAAACTTGAGTCATCCTTGAGTTCGGCGAATTAAGCTGATAACTAGTCAAGGGCCTATTGGATCCGCAGCGCCGCTGTCTTAGACGATATTTCTGAATGGGCCGGCGCCACGTTGACATTCTGGCGCCCTGTGGCGCCCATGAGCGCGGATTCGTATCGAATTGAGATGCGACCAGAGGCGAGGGGGGGGGGGGGCTTGTAGTTGACAACAGATAAGGGCATTAGACCGAAACAAAGGGAGATGGGGAGGCATTATTGCACTGCCACGTCGGCCCGGTGATCGTTACTGACGGCTTCCAGCCTCCGTTTTGCCACATTCCAACTTGTTACCTCGTCGCTGTCAGTACTTTAGCCCTCCTTGCTTCCTCCCACCACATCCTGACCTTCACCCGCTAGCCTTACCACCATGGCCCTCAATCAAGAAGATAAAATCGAAGAGGCGTCGTTCACCTCGATAAAAGATGAGGAGTCCGCTATCTCGACGTCCTCTTTGCCTGTCCCGGTCTCTGCACCGAAACCAAAGCCCAAAGTCTCGATAGTGGTCATTATTCCTATCTGGATGGCCCTATCCGTGTCCGTCATTCTCTACAACAACTATCTGTACAACACCCTCCAGTTCAAGTTCCCTGTATTCCTCGTAACGATGCACCTTACGTTTGCTGTAAGTGTGTCCCGGGCCTCCTCCGCTCCTAGCTCACTCTGCGCACTCCCCAGGCTATCGGCACGCGTGTATTACAGCGGACGACCAACCTCCTCGACGGCACCAAGGACATTAACATGAATAAAGACATGTTTCTCCGCTCTATCCTCCCCATCGGCCTGCTGTTCAGCGGCAGCTTGATAATGAGCAACTCGGCCTACCTCTACCTCAGCATCTCCTTCATCCAAATGCTCAAGGTGCGACATGCCCCTTTTCAAGCAGCTAGCTATCTTCATCTCCGTACGCTAGGCGTTCACCGCAGTCGCCGTCCTGCTCATCTCGTGGACCTTCCGCACTGCGGAGCCGAACCGCAAGCTCGCGATGATCGTTTGTATGATCTCCTTCGGCGTCGCGCTCACGTCGACCGGCGAGCTGCACTTCAATCTCCTCGGCTTCGTCATCCAGGCCGCCGCCGTCGGCTTCGAGGCGTCGCGCTTGGTGATGATCGAGATCCTCCTGCACGGGATGAAGATGGATCCCCTGGTGTCACTGCACTACTACGCCCCCATCTGCGCGCTCATCAACCTCTTCTTCTTGCCCTTTACCGAGGGCCTAGCACCTTTCTACGAGCTCGCGCGCATTGGGCCGCTCATCCTATTCAGCAACGCGTGCGTCGCGTTCTTCCTCAACGTCGCGGCCGTGTTCCTCGTTGGCGTGGGCAGCGGGCTCGTGCTGACGCTCGCCGGCGTGTTCAAGGTGCGTCGTGCCTGCTGCATCCCCCTTTTTCTCTCCTCATACCCCCTGCAGGACATCCTCCTAATCACGGGCTCCGTCGTTCTCTTCGGCTCGGAGATCTCCCCCCTGCAGGTCTTCGGTGCGTCCCTTTCCCCCCCTCCCCCATCCCCATGCCGCAGATGCTCACCACACACAGGTTACTCGATCGCCCTTGCGGGCCTTGTGCTCTTCAAGACCACGGGAGGGAAATAGCGAGCGCGTTGTTATTCTGGGATTACGAACGGATCCGGATTAGAGTAGTATACATATCTCGCTTGCTGGCAGCCTTAGTTCTCGGGCCCTCGTATATAAGCATACATTATAGATGGACTCGTCCTATGGATAGCGCGCGTATTTATACAGCCCATGTATTTCTCTCTCGAATATTTGCTTGTAGACGCGCAGCGTGTGGAAATTCTGCTGGAATTGTCCGGTCCACGGCCGTCGGAGAATCGGAGCTAGAAAAGTCCGATAGCTGCCGATTTCAGTTTTCCAGGTCTATCTTGCGTTGAAATTCACCGCCTTGTTATTTTTCATTTCTTGCCTTGCTTCAGTTTCAGCCACGCCAGGAATTAGTCAAAGACGCAGCATTTGAGCTCTTTCGGTTGTACCCGCGCCAAGATCTTATCTAATCAAACATCAACTCTCGGCCGTGGCGATCATGGCAACCCACTGATCGCCGTTCACCTCCATTCACCGTCCTCTCAGTTTCCTGTACTTATTTCTTCCGACTCGCTGGAGTGGCAGAGCCCAATGGCAACACAGGCGGCGCACTCCAATTCACCCGGATGCAGCTGCTCGCAGATCCTGCTGGTAGAGTATGCAAGCAGTTCGTACTAG